ATATCTGAATGGGTTATGGGAGCAGGAAGGGAGTTTTAGCCTTTTGGATAAGATATTATGGGAGGGTTAACTAGCATCTCGGTTGATCCCAAGGTCACGACCTTCAAAAAAAGTTACAGAATCACTGAACATAAAACGTGGAAGGCAGCTCTGAGGTCTTCACGGCTAGTGTAAACCTTTGTTTCTACTTATGGAACTGCTACCATGTTAAAGAGACAATCAAGGAGGGACCATGGTTAGCATGCGAGGTAGGAATTTGGAGGGATGGTGAAGGTGGATCACCATTGATAAAACAAAGACTAAAGTGGTGGCTAGACTGGTGTTTCAGGGTTTTGGCCACCCTCAATGTCTTTTTCACCCTCTCTTTTTCTCTCAGGATTGTATTATACTGCTTTGGAATCCCAGTAACCTTGTAGAATGCGAACACACCCAAGCTTGATTTTTACACAGCAGACACATAAAACAAAAATTCTGGGTCCTGGCCCAAATTTTGCCTTTGGCCTCTTGTCTCACAGTACTAAAGTTAATTAGTCTTATTTTCCCCATATGCATAATAAAGGTTTTGGGCTCGGTCTGAAATTCTCAAGAAGCGTTCAGGGAACCATTGGTTCCATAGGATGGCAGCAGCTATTCTGTGGAATAAAATAGGTTTCCATGATCAATTTCTTCTGGAATATTGCTGGATTCATAAGCACATTCATCTACAGGACTTCTTCTAATGTAAGAATTCACTTTAAAGTGACTCAGGTAGGCAGAATTCCCCAAACTTACTTAGAAACATAACACACACTACAGGATCATCTCTAACGGTCTTTCAGCCAAAATGCTGCCATTCTTTATTCTTTTCCTTTGAGAATAGAGATATTAAGAGAAGCACAATCAATGATCGGCTCATTTTACTTCTCTACTATGGACATGATACGGTGCTTGGTTTTTAACCACAGTGTTCATGTGCCTCAAAGCAAGTGGCAACCACGGGGGTCATTTCTTTAGTGAAGCATTTGAAGTTAAATCAATCGGATTGAAAACAACGGAAACAGTTTGTTCCTAAAGACTAGACTAGGTAATTTCAGTCTCTTTAATGATGTGACTGGCAATAAAACCAATTGGCAAAATTGACTGCAGAATAGTGTGACTAGTGGCTCTTTTTTTTTTCCTTTTTTCTTCGCACATAGTTTTTGTCAGCTTAGCTGCTACGAAGGTTTTTCTTTTTCTTTTTTTTTTTTTGAAGATTTTATTTATTTATTTGACAGAATGAGAGAGATCACAAGTAGGCAGAGAGACAGGAAGCAGGCTCCCTGCTGAGCAGAGAGCCCGATGTGGGACTCGATCCCAGGACCCTGAGATCATGACCTGAGCCAAAGGCAGAAGCTTAACCCACTGAGCTACCCAGGCTCCCCTGCTATGAAGGTTTTCCATCTGAAAGTCTTGAGTAGCAAATCCTGCTCAGGGTCCTAAGCTCTGTAGTTGGTTTAGCTTTTGCAGACAACACGGGGTTCATTGTCACGATCACATACACACTGTTACAGTCTCTACCTGCATGCTGGGGTTCAAGGTGTGTGACCCTAAATGGCTGTCCACATGTGGGAGGTGTCTAGCCTGGGGCAACTCTAGCTGTCTGTTCCTTCAGATGGAGAACTGTCTTCTTTCTGTATTCAGAAGAGACCACACCTGTTTGATCTACCTTTCTATGAGTCTGGTCATGAATGACTTCAAACTCTCCATGCCACTAGTTGTTATCAAAGACTATTGTGGAGTCTGTGTTGATGTACAAGTATGGAAAGTATGGTGGGTTATTAAACAAGGCATCATCAGAGTCATCTCTGGATTAAAACAAATACACATCCTTGGTTTCACCACTGAAGATTTTGATGGGGAAGATCTAAAAATGGGTGCAACCACATGTATTTTAAAAAGTTCCATGAATACAATCCACATGGCCATCAGTAGGAGACTAGATACACAGAGTGTGGTTTATTCATACAGTGGGATGGTACTCAGCAACAACAAAGGAAACGTAGCTGTTACATACAGCAACATCGATGACTCTCCCAGACGTTAGGTTAAATGAAAAAAGCCAGTCACCGAAAAATGTACAACGTAGGATCCATTCGTATGAGGTTTGGAAATAAGCCAAGCTGATATATCACGTTAGAAAAAAATTGTGGTTTCTACTAGGGGGATGTGGGATTAACAACAGAGGGACACAGGATACTTTCTGAGAGTGATAACAATAGTTTATAATATTTTTGGGTTGAGGGTCTACACAGATGCTTATAATTTTAAAACTTGAGCTGAATTCTTAAGAGATGTATGTTTTATTGCATATAATTTATACATCCTTTAAACAAAAGAGCCTCATTTCCCTGGAAGTCTCCAAACTAGGGTCCTATACTTGTGTCAGAATCCAGGAAATGATCATCTTCACTCAATCCAGCTCAACCCAATTACAGCCTCAAGAAATGGAATGCTCCTCTGTTCTTCGCTGTCTTCCACACAACCCACCATTTTCATTTACCTTCCAGAATTTCTTCCATTCTTTCCATCTTTTGAATAATAAAACTCCAGAGAACTTAACATACAACAGCCAGCTTGATAATAAAACTATAGTTCTCTAAACTTTGTCCCTTTCCTGTCTCCATTCCAGTAGTCGGTATTCAGCATTCCTGGAAAGAGGCCCTTCCCTCTTAGGCTACCTTGTAGGGCCCTCATGTTGGTTGAGCACCTACTATGTGCCAGACTTTGCTGGCTCCTTTACTAAGGCTATCTCATTTTCTTTCTGCAATAACCCTGAGAAATAGATATTTTTACTGTCTTCACTTTCCAGATTAGCAATGGATAAGGGAAGATAAATGTAGAGCAAGCCCAAAGGTGACATCAAGCTAATGAGTGGAGATTGCAGGGTTAGAAAAGAACAGTGATTACAAAAACCTCGTGTAATTTAAGGCCTCTTTCTTTCCAGGCCTTGAGGTAAGGAAAGTGGGGACCGGAGAGCTGGAAGGAGAGATACAGCTGAGTGTAAAGATAGCAAAGTTCCTCACTGCACAATGTTTTTCATGCCCAGTTGCCAGAATTCAAACCAGCCAGGCCTCATACACCCAGGCAGTCCCATGCTCTCTGGCTCACCCCTGCTGGTAGCTTAGAAGTGGCAGCCTCAGGGCGACTTTTGTTTGCTATAACTTAGAAAACAAGAAGGAAGCGAGTGGGGGATGTAGAGATGTCTTTACTTTTAGGATTCTGGCTCCCTGAGAGGAGAGGAGTGGGTTCCCTTCCGGGGGTGGCGATGCACAGGGAGAAGCACTGAAGCAGATTCTGTGGTGTGTGTGTGTGTATGTGTGCGTGTGTGCGTGCGTGTGTGTGTGTGTGTGTGTGTCTCGGCGCGCCTGTGCGTGGAGGGGGATTGCTGTACCCAGCGCGAGGCACTGGGGGAGGAGGAAGCGGTAGCAGAGATCTGAATAATTGATTCTTCAGCCGCACCAGACGCTCAGGAGCGGGCGGAGAGCGTGGCTTCAGCACCGCGGACAGCGACACGCCGCCGCAGGCACCCCCTTCGCCAGGCTACCGCCAATCCTGGCCCTGTCGCCGCCGTGCGCTCCGGGAACCGGTGGCCGTGCTCCGCGCCGCCTCCGAGGGACTGCGGGGTCTGCCTCGGCCCGCCTCCGGGGAGGGCGGCTACGGGCGGGAGATGCTTTCACCCACTGGAGCTCCAAGCCTCTCTGACTGTCGCGGGGGCTGCTGCGTCTAGTCGACTGAGAACAAGTCCCTAAGTTGGCGTGGGGGCGCCCCTGCCTTCCTCCTCCTCTTCCTCCGAGGCGACCGCATCAGAAGCACGCCCCAGAAGCCCGCTTTTGCCAGTGCTGTGAGCCAGGGTGGCTAGGCGCTTTCCGACTCCCGTCGGGAAATGGGGAGCTGAAAGCCTGGTGGCGAGCTGGCCCCGCAGCGAAGGGCTCAGAGGGAGCTGCCATCCCCCGCCCGCGCCTCTCTCTGGCGGGGACCGCGGGGATCCCCGGCCACACGCGCGCGCGCGCTCCCACACTCACTCACACACACACTCGCCCTCACACACACCACCAGCCCGGAGCCAGGGCTGCGGAGAGGGCTCTCGGGCGCGCTCAGAGGACCGGGCAGCTGCTGTCCGGAGTAGGGCTGGAAGCCGAGCTCCGGCTTTTGGAGGGAGGCGCCGCGGGGCTGGCCGGAGCATGGGGCTGGGTGAGCGCTGAGAGTCGGGGCCGCAGCCATCAGCCCTGGAGATGACCAGGAGCGGCCACTGCTGAGAACTATGTGGAGAGAGGCTGCGGTGAGTGCTGGCGCGGGACGTGGGGCCTGGGCGGCCCCTTTGAGGGAAAGACGGTGGGAGGCCTGAGTAGGAGGGGGCGGCAGGACCGCAAGGGGGTCGTTGCGTGGAAATGATCGCCCCTCCCTCGGGGATCCGGGACCGCGGGAGCCCGAGTCCTTCCCTCCCCCTCTCCTGCCGGCTCATCGCAAACTCAGCCAGCCCCCCCACCCCCATTCCCTCCTCTTTTTCTCCCTACCCCCCTCGCTCAGCAGCTCCTGGCCGAACAACTCCCAGCAGCCGGCGCCGGGTGGTAGGGGGTGAGGGTGGAGATGCCTAGTTAGCTTCTCGTGCGTGGCCAACCTGGGGCTCCGGTTCTCCTGTGCGCCCCGAAGCGGAGATCTCCATATCGACCGCGGGGTCTGAGGATCCGCACAGGGGTCTTGGGCACCGAGCTTCAGCTCCCCCTCTCCGGTCTAGCCCCCTGTGCGCACAGGGGGCTGTCAGCATTGCGGACTGCAGCCTGCCCCCCAGTCCCTTTTCCCCTGCCGGTAGGCTGACCCTGCCTTTCTGTCTCTTCTCCACCCCGATAGAGCCCTGCTGCAGAGCCTCCGGCTGGGATAGCCGCCCCCCGTGGGGGCGATGCGGACAGCGCGGGACAGCCAGGGGAGCGCGCGGGGGCCGCAGCATGCGGGAACCCGCTAAACCCGGTGGCTGCTGAGGCGGCCGAGATGCTCGTGCGCGCAGCGCGCCCCACTGCATCCTCGACCTTCTCCGGCTACAGGTACGTCCCAGCGGGAGACCTGGGCTCGGCCGGCCGGGGAAGAGGAAGACTCGACCGGAGAGAGAGCGGGAGAAGGATCAGGAGAGAGAGGGAGAGGAAGCGGGAGAGGGAGCATCTGTTAGCGAGGCGCGGGAGGAGCACCAGGGGGCGCTGCGGCTCCGTGCTCCGCGACGCTCACCCGAAGAGTGCCGCGGCCAGAACGAGTTCTCCTCAACTTCCCGCGGCTCCGGCAGCGCCGGGCCCGAGGGGCGCGCGCCTGTGCACGCGTGCACGACTGTGCTGGTATTTGCAGGCACGCGCAGTTGTGCACCTAGCGCGATACATGTGTGTGCACCGACTGAGGACGTGTGCGGACTCCGGATGGCTGTGGGTATCGCTACGGCGGCCTGCGGCTGTGCGCAGAAACGCGCGCGTGCCTGTGAGGTTGTGCAGCCCACTGCCCACATGCCCTTACGACTTGGTAACAGGATCTGGGGTGGGAAGCCTGGGGAAGGGCTGTACAGTTCGCGTCCGTCGGAGAGCTGTTTAGGAGCCTACCTTCCCCCCCACGCACGTTCTCTGCCAGCTCCCACGCGCCGGCCCACGGGGTGGGGGGACGCGCCTTCCCTCCTCTCCGGGGTTCTGCATTGCACGCGGAGCGCGTGAGAGAGGGCGTGTGTGTGTGTGTGTGTGTGTGCGCGCGCGCGTGTGTGTGCACGCGCGAGAGTAGGGGGCGGGCCCTGGGGCCCGCCTTCTGTTGAGTGGTTCAACGCGAGGTGGAGCGAACCCTAATTTCCCCCTAGGCACCCGGGACCCTGGGGCGCACGAGCGAGTGTCCTCACTCTCATGCACGGGGCCGGGGTGGGGGTTCCGGGTGTGCAGCGGGGGCCCTGTGGAACCAGGTCTGTGCTGCACCCGGCAGCTTCATAGGGGGCGCGGTCGAATAGCCCAGCGCCGGAGCGGGGCTGCGGAGTCTCAGCACCGCCTCCGCACACGGGGGCTGGTCTGTAGTTCGCTCCTCGCCAGCGGGGGGCGGGGTTGGTAACTTGGTCTGCACTAGGCAGGTGGGAGACCGGTGGCTGGAGGGTTTGCTCTGGGCGCCTACGCTCAGGGGCTGTGGTCCACAGCTAACTTGGGGATGTGGTGGGAGATGTGGGCAGAGTTCCGTATGGAGAAGAGGCTGGAGACGGGGTGAGAAGGAGGTTGGATGCAAAGATCAACTTGTGGACGGGGATGGAGAATTAGCTCAGACGGGAGTTGTGGATAGAGTTGGGTGGAGGGATGTGGATGGCATCCGGAATGGGGAATGAAGGCAGGGACTCTGTGAGCTTGCTCAGGGGATGGGTGCCTTACCTGGCTCCTAGAGCCAGGGCCTGGGTCATAGTCCCTTCCCTCTAGAATCCTTGCTCCCTGTGGCGCTGACTCTCCCTCTCCACCTTGCAGGGACCGTAAGTGGCGACTATGGGCAGACTGGGTTATTGGACCCTGCTGGTGCTGCCGGCCCTTCTGGTCTGGCGCGGCCCGGCGCAGGGCGCGGCGGTGGAGAAGGGTACCCCGGCGCTGAACATTGCGGTGCTGCTGGGTCACAGCCACGACGTGACGGAGCGCGAACTGCGAAACCTGTGGGGCCCAGAGCAGGCAGCAGGGCTGCCCCTGGACGTGAACGTGGTAGCCCTGCTGATGAACCGGACGGACCCCAAGAGCCTCATTACGCATGTGTGCGACCTCATGTCTGGGGCGCGCATCCATGGCCTTGTCTTTGGGGACGACACCGACCAGGAGGCCGTGGCTCAGATGCTGGATTTTATCTCTTCGCAGACTTTCATACCCATCCTGGGCATCCACGGGGGCGCGTCTATGATCATGGCTGACAAGGTAAGTCGGAGAGGTGATAGGCTGCCAGGACCGGGGAGTGTGCCATCGTAACACAGCCTCCACAGGTCTTTGGGAGCCCCTGGCATCTGTTTTGATCTGAAAGAGGGTCGTGGTCCTGGTGAGAGCCAGGTCCTGCCTCTCCAACCCAGAAATGAATGGAAATGCTTTTTACCTTGGTTCCGAGAGTGGGGTACTCAGAGGTACTTCGGCTGTGCCAGGAAGAACTCAGAAAATGCAGATGTGTAATGTGTAATGGGGTGGTGGAACGCTTGGAGGTTTCCAAATAGTGCCCAGAGGTGAGCCTGGGGATACTTGCAATGCTATGGCTCATGCTTCTATAATATCAGCTTTACCCGATTTGTGGGGAAATGTCAATTTTTCCCTCTGTGGTAAGTGTCTAAAACTATTTTTAAAACGATTAAACGTGGGTATGTTACAGAATAGAATGCATAGTTTTTAGGTAAAGCACAAAAGGGCAGAGAAATGTCATGTTTCCACAGACTGTCTGCTGTTGGGGAAAATGGGGTAGAGGGTTTGAGAAGTCCTGGGCTAGAGGCACCCAGGAAGGTGTTCCTCTAAGGATTGAGTAGAGAGAACTGAGCACAGACCCTGAGCATGGAGGGCCTGGCATTTCCCTACATGTTCCCTGAGTGGGGCTAACAGGGGTAAATGGAGGGGTTGCCTCCCCAGGATGGGTTTTGGTAGGAAATTGGAGAGTGTCCTAATGAAAGGTGTGTCCACATCTCTTGGCTTAGGATGAGAGATAAGGTCTTTCTGTGGACCCTCTGAGAGTATTGGTTTGGGGAAGAGTAGAGAGAGAGACTTCCAGACTGGAATGAGATGTTATGAGAGCCTGATTTGAGGGTCACGCAGAAGCGGAGGGATGGAAGAGGGCCAGAAGGGAGAACCAAAGTAAGGAAGGAGAAAAAACTAGACTCATGGGTGCACTGTATCTCGAAGCCCCAGGGAAGGACTGGGATGGGGCAGGAAGGGGAGGAGGGGGTGCTTGGCCTCGTGTGCCATGGTCCCCAGCCCTGAGAGCATCTTGGAGTATGTTCCTTAGATAGCAGGAGACATCCAAATGGAGCAAGCAGACATTTGTCAGGGCACTTTCTTTCTGACGCTCTCAAAGCACTTTTATATTCATCAAATCAGATTCTGCCTCTGCCTCAGCAATTCCCACCAGCTCCTTTGGGAACCATATTCTTTCAGGTCTCCTGGGCTGCAGCACATTCAGCCGAAGTATACAACCAATGCAGTATCTTATTAAACATTCATTTTAACTGGTTTGCAGCCTAGCAGAATTTCTATGTGTGGCTGAGCCTTTTCCCAGCCACCTCTCAGTTTTGCGGGGGGGGGGGGGCTCCTTTCTTGGATGAAAAAGAGTAGGGAACAGGTGGCCCTGCCACCAATTGCTCGAGCTGGGAAGGGTCTTGGAGTCTCCTAGATCATCCTACAACTTTCAGATGAAGTGCCTGAGGCACAGGGGGGCAGGTAATGACTTGGCTGAGGCCACATGGTGGGCAACGGAGCTAGATCTGTGTTTTGTTCTCCAGCTGTGATCTCACATTCCAGCAAATTAAGCCTATCTTCTAATGTTGTCATCCCATCTTCAAGAGGGTCAAGGAATTAATCTCATTTTATAGGAGGTTCTAAGCCATGGAGAGGTGCAATGAATCAGAGCCTAGGGCTTGTGCATAAGGAATGACCGACCCTCTGACGAAGGCATGAAGAAGAACTACAGTTTCTAGCAGGGGTTTGGAGTGTGATTTGGGGATCTAAATATTACCACTGACCCCTCCTCCCTTCTGAAGTTTTGACGAAAGAAGCAACACGCAAAAGACAGTAGCCATGTTGAAAGTGAAATTAATGGATTCATTAGGGCCAGCATAATCAGTGGGGAAATATGGTGAAATCTGACTTGGAGAAGGAGTCTTGAGGCTGGGAGGGCTGAGCTGGCAGGTGTGTGGCTCAGGCTCTTACCTGACTTACCTATCGGACTGGAGGCAAAGGAGCAGGAACAGAGAGTGGGCTCATAGTTGAGCACTTGTTTGATATACAGCTACCCTGCCCACTGTGAATGTTAGTCTTGGACCTACTGGACCAGCAGCTGCTCCTTCCTTAAAGGAGTATTAGAAGGGGAGTTTTGAGGGTATGGGCGGAAGCCTCCTCCTCTTCTGTAGAATGAAGCTGCCTAATGGGGATTGGACAAGAGCATGACCCCACTGAATAGTACAGAAGGAAAAGGGAATCAGGAAATGGCAAGAGAAAGAAGAGAAAGGACATTTTCAGAGAAGCAAGATTAGAGAGAGATTTAAGAGCTGACAAAGGAGAGAGGAAGGAAATATACATTGGTTCAAAGATGGTGAAGGGAATTGGTTACTCCTCATTATTGTCGGGGCTTTCCGAGTTGGTCTTAATGGCAGGGAATCAAAGAAGTGAGCGCAGATAATGTTGGGGTATATGTTGGGCCCCATGTGTGGGATGAGCAGGTGATGTTGAGTGGAGGTGGGTTAAAGAGTGGTATTTTGAGAAACTTGGATGTGTTAAAAAAAGGAAAGAGATTGTCTGAGACGTGAACAGCCCTTCCTTCCATTAGTAGCACATCTAGTTGGCTTGTGCCTTTGCCACCTGTTTTTTTGGGAGCTGAATGCAGTTTGTTTGGCTCTGAAGAAGCAGCCATGAGACATTGCCTAAAACTTACCTTGTGTGGTTGAGTGTGCCCATGGTGCTGTGGCCACAAAGTCTGCATCTCCCCAAAGGGAAAAGGCCTTTCTGTCTTCCCCTAACATGATGTTCATTTGGTAAAGCCCAGAACATACTTGTGTTTGTTTTCACTTCCAAATTGGTAACATGATAGTTACTAGTGTTCCTGTGGACAAGAATGGTAGTTAATTTGATTATCAGGTAAATTGAACACCACCCCCCCGCCACACACACAACATTTTTACCTTTCCTTCAGTCTACTTGACCCAAGGAAAAAAAGAACAAAGCCTTATAATAATGGAAATGTGTTAAGTGGCACATTTTTGTAGTGTTAATTTACAACACAGATGTTAATGTTTCCTTCTATCAATGGGTGGTCTTGAAATATAGTTAAGTTAGAGGTGAAAATAATGGTTGCTGTAGAGATACAGTTCTACTCTTATCTTGGTTTGGCCATTTTGATCCTCTCCGAATGGAATACGTTCTTGTTGCTGCAAAAGTCCCTAATACATCAGGCATATGCCCTAGATCTTCACATTTCTGCTCAGTGTCCTCACGTCCTCAACCCTCTCCTCCACTTCTAATGGCTCTGTGGGGAAAAGGCAAGGCTTGCTTAGATTTTAGCTACATCTGTCCATGGACTTTGTTTTATATGACATTTCTATCCATACCTCATCTCCTTTACTAGAATGTAAGTTCCTTGAGGACAAACTTTTTTTAAAAAAGTGTGTTTATGTGTATTTGAAATAATGAATACTCTTTCTCCACAGTTTATAAACCTAATGCTTCACTGTAGACTGCTTAGAAAGTATATTAACGTTTAAAGAAAAAATAAAGTTCTCCCCTCTAAGTTCTGTCACCAGAGTAACCACAGTTGGACACATGGGTCTATTTCCTTCTAAGCTCTATTTAGTTACTTATCAGTTCAGGATTATACTGCATATATGGGATTTTTTTTTTTTTTTTTTTTGTACTTTGCACTCTGTGGGCTTTTTTTAGTCAGAAGATCCAGGGTTTTCTTTAATTCCGGAAAAAATCTCAGCCATTATGTTTTGGATCTTTCCTCTCCAACATATTCTCTGTTCTCTCCATATGTAGTTTCTCGATCAGTCGTCCAGGTATCTTAAATTAAACTTTTTTTTTTTTTTTTTTTTCAGTTCTCTGTCTCTCTGTGCAATGTTTGGGAAGGTTTCCTTAGTTCTATATTCCAGTTAACCAGCTCTTTTTATTTGTACCTGGTCTCTTATTTTGCCTCTCCGTTAAGCTTTTTTTTTTTTTAAGATATTTATTTATTTATTTATTTATTTATTTGACAGACAGAGATCACAAGTAGGCAGAGAGAGAGAGAGGAGGAAGCAGGCTTCCTGCCAAGCAGAGAGCCCGATACGGGGCTTGATCCCAGGACCCTAGGAACGTGACCTGAGCTGAAGGCAGAGGCTTTAACCCACTGAGCCACCCAGGCACCCCTCCGTTAAGCTTTTAATTTCAACAGTAGTTCATCATATTTCCAAGATGAATGATTGGCCCCTTTTTATACCTCCTTGCTTTTTTTTGTTTTATAACAAAACTCTTTTCACTTTGTGAATGTAAATCCTTCCTCTGTCCCTTTGAGGATTAGAGGGAAAAAAAAAAAGGACTGCGAAGTTCTTCTCTGATTGCTTTAGCGTCTTTGTTTCTTCAGGTATGAATTCTTGCATTTTGTAGATTCTGATCATTGGATGTCCTCATATGTCCTCTGATTTTTGTTTGTGAATTTTTAAGGTGATTTTATGATTTCTTCTGCCCTTTGTTTGCAAGGGTAGTAAAGCTCATGTCAACAGCTAAGCTTAGAGCTTTCTCCCTGCTCTGTATACCCTTTGGTGCAGGCTTGGCTCTCAGTCTAATGTAAGTTGCTTCATTTTGGCTCCTTGCCACAGACAGGGGCATCGTTTTTGGCCATGATTCCCAGCAGCATGATTCTGGGTACAGTTTTGCCTCTTACCCCTGGGTAGATGTTGGGACCTCTGCTTCCATGTCTCATATTGAACCCATCCCCCATGAACCATGTGACTTTGATTCCTACATGAAATTGTAGAGTCCCATCTTTTGATTCACTTATTTTCAGGGAGTTCTCTTTATTTTTGATCTGTGATTCCCTTTTCCTATTTCCAAGCAGTACTATGTAAATTTTAAAACATCTAAAGATTTATCTATAAATTCTGTGTCTTAGGAACAGAAGAGGAAGGTTACTGAGGGTGTTCACTCTGATTTTGACCCAGTTATATTTTACGTCCTGCTTTTATTTTTTTCAAACT